TAACAAACAAAAACTTTTTATAAATTATTTAAAAAAAAAAAAATGTACCAAAAAAATGAATTTAAACACTCACATTTATATATATATTAAAAAAAAAAAAAAAAAAAAGGAAAAAGTTGAAAATAAAAAAAAAAAAAAAAATGGCATATAAACAACATCTTGATCAGGTGTGTATTATTATAAATGTTAAAGTACATACTTATGTCAACAGACAGACATCACATACATACACATACATATAACATACACATACATATGGAACATGATTGTGGATTGATGATGAATGGCGGCGGAAAAAGCGCAAAAAGAAAAGAGGCGGCGGTAAGAGAAAGAGGAAAGGAAAGGGAAAAAAAAAAAAAGAAAAAATGAAACAGGACAAAATAGCTTGAAAATATTGGAAGGATTGTAATGGTTGTTTTCAATTTTTTTAAAAAAAAAAAAAAAGAGAAAAAAAAAAAAAGAAACGAAAAAATGATTTCATAGGAAATAAAAATGAAAAAAGAAGTGGATATGATTTTAAAAAAAAAGAGGAAAATCCATATATTGATTATAGTTATGCTATGTGTGAGAGCTAAAGAATTGGCCAAGTCCTATGAGATGGATTAAAGAATTAGCCAAGCTTTTCTCTCTCTCTCTCTCTCTCTCTCCCTCCCTCTCTCCCTCTTATACTACATTCCTTTTTGATCAGTTATTTAAGAAAAAAAAGAAAAAAAAGGTATAAAACTGACAAAAGTTTAGTCTGCTTTATTAATTAAAAAAAAAAAAATTTTTTAAATTTTAAATAATTAATTAATCAACTACGACAATTATTATTTTTTTTTTTTTTGCCATTATTGTATTAAAAGAAAAAATAATAATAATAATGAGAAAGAGAAAGTCTGCTTTATAAAAAAAAAGAAAAAAATTCATAATTAAAAATTTTAAAATTTTAAATAATTATTTTCTAATTAATCAACTGCAACAATTATTTTTTTTTACTATTTTTGTATTTAAAAAAAAAAAAGAAAAATAATGAGTATATAATAATTATTTATTTATTCATACATTATAACATATATATAATAATATACAATCTAATTTTAATTTTATGGTAAATATTGAAAAAAAAAAAAAAAAAAACGAATAAAATGATAATTTTATTGATTCATTTTATAATCGAAATCATTTTTAGTTCCTTTTTTAAAATTGCAAAAAAAAAAAAAAAAAAAATGAATGTATTCAAATTAAAATGAACAAAAAAAAAAAAAAAAAAAATTATTGAAGTTAATATTGTAATATTTTATAATATTTGTTTGTTTAATTATAAAATCATTTCAATTATTTCAATTATTTTACAAAATCATTTCAATTATTCCAATTATTTTCAATTATTTGTTTAATTATAAAATCATTTCAATTATTTCAATTATTTTCAATTATTTGTTTAATTATAAAATCATTTCAATCATTTCAATTATTCAAATAATGGAAAATATTTGTACAGTTATGTTTCGAGAGGTAGAGGTGAGGAAAAAAAAAACAGCCATGTTCAGGAAGATTCTGGATCCGGAAAAAGAATAAAAACAAAAAAAAAAAACAGCTCAGCAATATTTTTTGGAAGAGATAGCTTGCATGTGTGTGTGTGTGTGTGTGTGTGTGTGTGTGTGTGTGGTGTGTGTGTGTGTATGTATGTGTGTGTATGTGTGTATGTGTATATTTAAGTACAAAAATTTGCTTAGCAAATAAATATAATTTAATGATGTCATTTCTAATTTATTTCATATAACAGTCAAATGTTCCATGGTGATAAATAATCATAATAATTTGGTAAATAATAGCAGCAATAATAATAATAATAAATAATAGCAATAATGATAATAAATAATATTAATAATAATAACAATAAATAAAAGCACTAATAACGATAAATAATAGTAATAATAAAGAGTAATGATAATAATAAAATAACAATAATAACAATAAATAGGAACAATAATAATAAATAACAATAATAATAATAAATAGTAATAATAATAATAAATAGTAATAATGATAATAATAAATAATATTAATAATAATAAATAATAATAAATAGTTGATAATAAATAATAGTGATAATAATAATAAATTGTAATAATAACAAATAATAGTGATAATAATAAATAGTAATAATGATCATAATAAATAATAGTAATAATAATAATAATATTAATAAATTGTAATAATAATAAATAATAGTGATAGCAATAAATAGTAATAAAGATAATAATAAATGATAGTAATAAATAGTAATAATAATAAATTGATGAAATAATAACAGATGAATAACTATTGCATTGTTCTGTATTAAATATATTTCAATGATTCCAAAAAAAAAAATTTCAAAAAAATTTTAATCAGTAAACAAACATAAAGTAAAAAAAAAAAAAAAAAACAATAACAAACTTTTTCTTCTTTCTATTTTTACTTTTCATTTTTTTTTTAAAAAAAAAAAGAAAAAACGTATCTTTTCGTTTTTGTTTACTTCACTTTCATCATCATCCTTTACTATTATTATTAAGAAATACTTAAAAATGTAGTACTTACAAAAAAAAAAAAACATTTAAGTAATATTTTTAAAATCTTTTCATTAACACTTGAAAAGAAAAAAAAAAGGAAATTGTAATTTAATTTTAATTTAGAACTTAAATATTCGATTTAAGAGTTTAAATATTCTATGATAATTTCAATAATAATAGTAATTATTATTTTTTTTTTTTGAAATAAAATGGAAATGAACGATATTATGGGGGAATGATGGAGAGAGAGAGAGAGAGAGGGACAGACAGGGAGAGAGAGAGGGAAGAGAGGGAGAGATTGTTGGAGATAAATGGATGTAAATAATACTTGATGATGATGATGATGAAAAATGAAATATAATTTGAACAGCTGCCAGTTGCATAAGAATGGAAAAGTGTGGAGGAAGAGAGGAGTGATGATGGAAGATGAGGAGAGGAAAAGAAGGAAAGGGAGGAATATGAAGAGGAGAGAGAGAAGAGGATTGATGGTAATATTTCTGGGAGGGAAACTAACTGGCATTAAGCTTAGCTAATTGCTCGTGGTGGGAACCATTTGATTTTTGGTAAATGGAAAAATGAATGAATGATCGAATGATCGAATGAATGGCGAATGAATGAATGGATGAATGATCGAATGAGTGGATGAATGATCGAATGAATGAATGAATGAATGAATGAGTGAATGGAGAATGAATGAATGAATGAATGGATGAATGAATGAATGAATGAATAAATGAATGAATGATTGAATGATCGAATGAATGAATGAATGAATGAGTGAATGGGAGAAAGAATGAATGAATGGGCGAATGGATGAATGAATGAATGAATGAATGAATAAATGAATGAATGATTGAATGATCGAATGAATGAATGAATGAATGAATGAATGAATGAATGGAATGAATGAATGAATGAATGAATGAATGAATGAATGAATGAACGAATGAATGAATGAATGAATGAATGAATGGATGAGAATGAATGAATGAATGAATGAATGAATGAATGAATGAATGAATGAATGAATGAATGAATGATCGAATGAATGAATGAATGAATGAATGAATGAATGAATGAATGAATGAATGAGTGAATGGGAGAATGAATGAATGAATGGGCGAATGAATGAATGAATGAATGGGCGAATGAATGAATGAATGAATGGGCGAATGGGTGAATGAATGAATGGGCGAATGAATGAATGAATGAATGGGCGAATGGGTGAATGAATGAATGAATGAATGAATGAATGGAGTGAATTAATGAATGAATGATCGAATGAATGAATGAATGAATGAATGAATTAAAAATGAAAAATGAATTCAAGAAATTTCCTTTCTTAGATGGATTAAAAAATTTTGCAATGATTATAATAAAATTAAATATTTGATAGCACTTTTATTAAATTTCTCATTTCTCTCTTTTAACACTTTCTAATGAAATCATTTTTTCACTTTCATTTTATCTTTTAATTTATCATTTTTATAACTTAAAATCAAAAAAAAATTTTGCACAAATAATTTCGTATATAAATGAAAATTATACAATTTAATAAATTAATTAAAACAAATTGAATTTATAAACTTTGTAAAATAAGCTAAATCACATAAATTTATCATTAGTTTAGCTCCATTTTTTTTTTTTTTCTAATAATAAAAATAATAAAATATCTTTTAAAAAAAAAAAAAAAGAACTTAAAAAATATTTCTGATCAATTAACCATTATTAGTAATTGTAATTGCAAAAACAATTAAATTTTTAGCTTGTTCAAATTAAAATTTATTAATTCAATTAACAAAATTTAGAAATCAATGTGATATTTGTAAATTAAAAATAAAATATGAATGATAAAAAAAAAAAAATAATACAATAAATAATTAAGTAAAATCATTTAAATATTTATAACTTAAAATTAAAAAAATTTTGCACAAATAATTTTGTATATAAATGAAAATTATACAATTTAATAATTTAATTAAAAAATTATAAAAAGATAAAGAGGAAAAAAAAAAATTGCTAAAAGCTAAATGACATTTGATAGGATAATTCTCAATTTGCAAACATTTTAAAATTATAAATTAATATTTGCCTATTTGTGTATGTATGTATGTATGTGTATGTGTGTGTGTGTGTTTGTATGTGTATGTGTCTGTATGTATGTGTATGTACTTTGATATTATTTAATTTTTAAAGTATTTGAAGTAAACAAAAAGTACATTGCTCTTATCACGTTAACAATATCTTCTATTTCAAATAACAATTATCAGTTGCACAGGTAGTTGTAGAGTGTATTGTTATTGATATAGTATTTTAATAGCTCTAACAATAACAATAAGCTTTATGTTTAGCAAATATTAATATTTTCCAATTATAATGTTTTTTTTTTTTTACAATTTTTCTAGATATTTATTAAATTTTTATTATACAAATAAAGAAAAATGAATTATATATTATCATATATTCTTCTCTCTCTCTCTCTTGCTTATTCTCTCTCTATCATATATAAATTCCAGTTTATATTGTTCATTTAAAAAACAAAGAGAGAGAGAGAGAGAGAGGCAGAGGGAGAGGCAGAGAAGAAAAGAAAAGAGAATGTTTTCTGATGAAAAATTAGAAAATTCTTTCTTTAGACAAATTTATAAAATTTAGCAATTTTTAATTATTAAACATTTGGATTATTAGCTGAATATGAATATGAATGCATTCTCAAAATGATTAGACGGAAAATATTTTTTTTCTTCTTTCTCAAATTCCGGAAATATTTGAAGATTTACAAATCAGGCAAATATATAAACAGGAAACAGGAAACGATATGCAGTAAATTTTGAAATGTTTGAATAAAATTTGCAACAACAGAAACTTTCCTTTTTCGGTTATATGTAGATGACCATAATAAATTTCATTAATATTCCAGTAATAATAATAACAATTTTAGCAGTGCATTAAAAACTTTTTTGCATTCCGGATGTCAAATTTTTCCATTCCGGAATGATAATATTTCAGTTATATATAGATAACTATAATAAATTTCATTAATTTACAAGCAATAATAATGATAATAATAATAATAATGATAATGATAATAATAATAACAATAATAACATTAATAATAATAATTTTAGCAGTGCATTAAAAATTTCTTATATTCCGGATGTTAAATTTTTCCATTCCGGTGTGATAATATTTCAGTTATATATAGACGACTATAATAAATTTCATTAATTCCAGTAATAATAATATCAGTTATATGTAAACGACTGTAATAAATTTTATTAATGTTCCAGTAATAATAATAATAACAATTTTAGCAGTGAATTAAAAACTTTCTACATTCCGGTTATTAAATTTTTCCATTCCGGTATGATAATAATATCAGTTATCAGTTAAACGACTATAATAAATTTTATTAATGTTCCAGTAACAATAATAATAAAAAAAATTTTAGCAGTGAATTAAAAACTTTTTTACATTCCGGTTGTTAAATTTTTTCCATTCCGGTATGATAATAGATTTCAATTAATTGTTATTGCATCGAAAATCACTAATGAATCAAAAATTAGAGTATGAAAGAAAAAATTAAAATGAAATTGAAGAAAACCGGAAAATAAAAAAAAAAAAAAAAAAAAAAAAGGAGAAATAGAAAGAGAAAAAAGAAAACAAACATAATAATTGAAGATGAAAGTGTTTTTCTTTCATTTTTTTTTTAAAGTATTTATAAAATACAAACTTTTTCACAAAATATTTTTTCTCTTTTATTAAGTGGTAATTTTCAACAAACAAAAAATAAATAAAAAATTATTTGAAAAACAAAAAAAAAAAAAAAAACGATTTTATTTTTCAAAAATATGAAATTTCAAAAAAAAAAAAAAATTAAATTTTATTATAACATTTGCATGTTAAAATGAGAATGCAAATTTGCTTAGTAATTTATTTACTCAAACAAAAATAGCTAATTGCTAATATTTTCATTTCAAATTTTTTTTTTTAAATGGAAAAGATAATGAAGAGAAGAGAGGGTAAGAGAAAAGAATGGATAATTTTTTTTAAAAAAAAAAAAAAATTGTTGAAAGAAAATAATTTATTAAATAAAAAGTGAAAAAGATTATTTGATAAACAATTATTTCGATTTTTTATTTTCTTTTTTTTTTTTTTTAACTTTTTCAAAAAATAATAAAATGGTGTAAACAAATTATTAGTAAATTTAATGAAAAAAAAAAAAAAAATGTCATCATTAAAATGTTTAGGAAAATTAATAAAACATTTACTTTACAAATAATAAAAATTAATTATTAGTAAATTTAATGAAAAAAAAAAGGAAAGAAAAAACGTCATCATTAAAATGTTTAGAAAAATTAATAAAACATTTACTTTACAAATAATAAAACATTTACTTTACAAATAATAAAAACATTTACTTTACAAATAATAAAAACATTTACTTTACAAATAATAAAAACATTTACTTTGCAAATAATAAAACATTTACTCTACAAATAATATTACTTTTATAAATAATATATTTTATTTTTATAAAAATTACTTTTACAAATAATAAAATCTATTATTAACTATCAAAATAAACAAAACAATTATTTTATCTATTTATTTAATTAAAATTGTTTACCAAATTATCTTCTGCGAGAGAGAGGAGAAAAAAAAAAAAAAAAAGAAGAACAGAGGAAGAAGAGAGGTAATAGTTAAAATAAGGACGAAGGAGGGACGGAGAGAGAGAGAGGTGGAAAGAGGGGGGGGAAAAAAAGTACTGAAATTAGGACAAATGGTTAACAATAATAGTACGTTTGAATTGTACTGCGGAACTACTACGACCATAAAAATATTTTAAAATTTTATAGAAAAAGCGTTTTTTTTTTTTTTTTCCTTTTTGAAAGATCAAATAGATAAATAAAAATGGAACAGTAGAAGGGTATGGCAAAATTTTTGAAATAATTTTTGACCTATTTTACTGTGAAATTAGTTAGAAGTGAAATGTTGAAAATGTATGTTTTACTTAATGTTTTTTTTGATATATTTATGGCTCTTATTAAATTAGTAATATTTATTATAATAATTAATAATAGATAATAATAATAATAATAATGGATAATTAATAATAATAATAATAGTTAATAATTAATGGTGGTAATAATAATAAACAAATAATAACAATTAATAATGATAATAATAAAGAAATAAATGAATAAACAAATGGAGGATATATTATAATAATTAATAAATAATGATAGTAATAGTAATAATAAATAATAATAATTAATGATAGTAATAATAAATAATTAATAATAATATAAATAATAATTAATGATAGTAATTTTATTATAATCACTATTTGTTATAATAAAAATAATAATAATAGATAATAAATAATAAATAATAACAATAATAATAATTAATGATAGTATTAATAATAGTAATAATAAATAACTAATAATAACAAATAATAATTAATAATGATAAATATGATAAATAAATAAACAAACAACAAAGTAACGAAAAAAAAATAGTAATAACAGCGATAATGATAATAATAATAATAGTGATAAGAAATAGTGATTATAATAAAAAAGAAAATAAAAACTTTAAAAGATTTTTTCAATGAGAATAATTAATGAAAGCATATCATCCATTCATTAATATTATAGCAAATATTCATTAAAATTTCATCCAATAATAAATCAAAAAAAAAAATCATTAAGAAGGAAGAGAAAAAGTAAGAGAGAGGGAAAGTAAAAAAAAAAGGCAAAATAAATTAATAAACAAAATAATTAACTTAAAATTGTTATTCAAAAAAAAAAAAAAAAAAAGGGGGAATGATTGATAAAAATCATTAAAATTAAATATATATATGAAAGAAGAGAGAGAGAAAAATTAATTTAAATTAAATTAATATAATAATCAATAATAATTGATTGATCTATCTAAGAGAGAAATATATATAAAGTTAAACAAATTGTTAAAATTAAATATATATATATGAAAGGAGAGAGAGAGAGAAATTAATTTAAATTAAATTAATATAATAATCAATAATAATTGACTGATCTATCTAGAAAGGATATATACATATATATATAATGTTATTCTATTAATTCATTTCCTAACTTTTGTTAAATTGTTAAAATTAAATATATATATGAAAGGAGAGAGAGAGAGAGAGAGAGAGAGGAATTAATTTAAATTAAATTAATATAATAATCAATGGAAGGATATATATACATTAAAAAAGTAAAGCAATAAAATTATTATCAATAATTAAAATAAGCACATGAAATGATATGCTGTAACCATGGTAACAACTTAAAATAGTTTATTATATAATTATCGAACATTTTATTTTATTCTATTAATTCATTTCCTTACTTTCATTTCTTTTTCATTTTCACTTTTTCTTTTTCCAATCAATTTTTTATGTATTATTGAAATAATTGATTTATAGAATTAATCAATTAATTATACTTAATCAATTAATCAATCAATTGAAATATTTAACAAAAAAAAAAAAAAAAAAAAAAAGAGAATTGATAATATTTTTAGCATTTTAAAAAAGTTTTTAGATTTATTATAGAAAAATTTATTTCACATTTGATTAATTTAAATTTTCTTTTTTTTTTTTATCATTGCTAAATTATTTGGATAAAAATTTTTACTGATTGATAAAGATAAATGAAAAAGAACTGTGATTTAAACAGCAATAATATTGTTATCATTAAAACAGTTAAAAAAAAGAAAAGATATTAAGCTTAAAATATAGCTGATGATATAAATAATTACATCAAAAATGATAAAATGATATAAATGATTCCGTCATAAGTGATAAAATGATATAAATGATCCCATCAAAAATGATAAAATGGTATAAATGATATCATCAGAAATGATAAAGTGATATAAATGATCCCATCAAAAATGATAAAATGGTATAAATGATATCATCAGAAATGATAAAGTGATATAAATGATCTCATCAAAAATGATAAAATGGTATAAATGATATCATCAGAAATGATAAAGTGATATAAATAATCTCATCAAAAATGATAAAATGGTATAAATGATATCAAAAATGATAAAATGATATAAGTGATCTCACTAAAGATGATAAAGTGATGCAATCCCATCAAAAATGACAAAATGATAAAAATGATCTGATCAAAAATGATATAAATGATAAAGTGATATTATCACATCATATCAGAATATATATAAATAATCACATCAATAATGATAAAATGATATAAATGATATCAAAAATGATAAAATGATACAATCACATTAAAAATGATAGAATGATATAAATGATTCTGTCATAAGTGACAAAATGATATAAATGATCTCATCAAAAATGATAAAATGATATAAAGGATATCAAAAATGATAAAATGATATAAAGGATATCAAAATGATAAAATGATATAAATGATCTTATCAAAAATGATAAAATGATATAAAGGATATCAAAAATGATAAAATGATATAAATGATCTTATCAAAAATGATAAAATGATATAAATGATGTTATCAAAAATGATAAAATGATATAAATGATGTTATCAAAAATGATAAAATG